TTGCTGGGCATCCTTTGTGGCTTTACAGATGCTGCTGCATCCAAGTGGGTTTATTCTGACTCTTCTAGTCCTCTGAGACTTGTGGAGGAAAACAGGAGGGAGCATTTAAATGTGGCTAAGCAGTAACAGTGTTGTTCTCCCTTGTCCCCAAATGTCCTTGGTTTGCTGAGGAGCTGGATGGGAAAAACAGCCATGCCTCAGGATTAGAAGTTGTTGTATAGAGATGGACGAATTAACCTTGTTGCTGCACAAGACGCAGTCTTGGCTAGCAGGCGGGAGCTACAGATCTGACCTCAGCTCAACCTATAGTTTGTTTATGGCGCTTTCCGGTGAGCCTGTGGCTAGCTTCCTAACCTAAGGTTTCCAATCAGTAAAGTTGTTTAAACAGAAGCTGGGTCAGGGTTTCTCAACAGTGGCTCTACTGACGTTTTGGCCAGATAATTCTTTATTATGGTGGTGTATAGTGTGTACCTCTGGGCCAGCAACCCTCCCCTGATTATAACAGCCACAAGTGTTTTCAGACATTGACAGATGTCCCTCCATTTGAGAAAGGCTATGTTAGACAAACATGAAGACAAAGTCAGGGTGTTGCTTCACTCGAACCCTTAGTAAGTACTTTAAATACTACATCACATAGGATCCTTCTAACACTCCGTCAAGGTAGACTTTGTTCATTTCCATTTACACCTGAGGTAATAAGTTTACATGACATTCAGTGTGTTAGTAGATCTGCCATCGCCTGTGGAATTTGGAGGAAATCGGAATACCCAGAGGGAGATGTGATTAATGCTTGCACAGGTCCAACGCATGGTCTTATTAATGCTCACACAAGGTCTGTCCATGGACTTGTCTATGCCTCCTGAGTAGGAGATCTCTGCCTGCAATACTGAACCAGCTAAGGAAGGGGTTGGCAAACGGTAAAAGGAAAAAGTATTTTTAAATACCCCCAAATGTGAATTTTGAAAAGAATTGGGGGGCTGGGGTGTCTTGTTCAATAACGCTCTTGTCTTGAAATTATGTGGGACTGGGCTCAAGCCCCAGAATCGACGTAAAATTACCCTGCTTGGCCACGCACCTATAATCCTAGCCCGGAGGCAAATAAAGGAGGAGCTCACTGTCACTGGCCAATTGGTTTTGCCTAATTGAGGAGCTCCAGGCCAATGAGAAACCCTGTCTCAGATGAGGCGGATGGCATTTCTGTCCTCTGGTCTCCATGTGAACAAACCCTCGTATGCATATACAACAGATACACATGTATAAAAATATGAAGTAGCGTTCATTGATATGTTTGCATAGACTTTCCATTTCAAGTTAGCTACATTCTAGACCTGATTTTTTTTTTTATAAGTGATGGCTGTTTTGGGTTGTTTCTCTGTAGAAACGATAGTGGTGAGGGTCACGGAGGAGCACTGGTTTGAGTTGTCCATGTTCAGTGATATGTGAGGAAAGAAAAGAAACATGTTTTGTGTTCTTTCACTAGATACAGGAACAAAGGCACCCAATTTCAAAGCCACAGGATACATGGGGGCGCTGGCATGATCGAGAATGTGGTGGACGTTAGCCAAGCTCATCAAGTTTCCCTGAGAAGAGACAGACAGACAGACAGACAGACAGACAGACAGACACTATAGCTGCTTATAAAGTACAATTTTAGCATTACTTCCATGGAACAGGATAAAAAGCTGCCTGGCTTCCCCAACAACAAATAAATCATAATCGAACTAATAAATTACAATTTGAGTTTTTCACTTAATATATCATGAAAAGTAGAATCACTCATTCTTTGTTACTAGATGAACTTTAAAGCAGTTGTCCATGGCGGATACTGTTGCATCTATATTCCCTGGCAAAGCCTTTCTTTCTCCAGGGATACCAATCATTCTCATTTCGAGACAGTCGCTCAAGTTGTTCCCCAACTCTTGGATCCATTCCTGTCCTTCTTTTAAAATGTAGATTGATGCCCTCTTCATATGGATTTCATAAAGAATCTTCACATTCTTGTCGTGTTTTTCCAGAATTCTCGCAAGTGCCTAAAACTAATTCATTCATTAATTTCATTACAAATTATCTTCCATCCCTCTTAACATAATGTTGGTTGCACAGGGGCAAGCAAGGACAGTTTTATAATAGGTTTTTGAACCTAAAGAAAAGCTTGGCTTCTGGAAGGTTCTCGGAGTTTCTCTAATGACTTGGTGTGGTTAGGCTCCATCTTTATTCCTTCACGCAGATTCATCACCCTGCACAATGTCAACCACTTTACACTGAAAGGCCTTTGTGAGTAGAGATGTGATTTTATAACTAGTCGCCATTTGGAATGGAATGTGCTGGTACCAGTCACTGGTTCTGAAGTTTGGATAGTATGTTAGCGCAGTGTCACATCTGCTGTGACCCACTCTCCTCTTTTCTATAACTCTCCCATACCCAGATACACGAGCTATCTTTCCCCAATGTGGTAGTGTCAAGTTGACACAGCAGATGAGCCTTTCTCTTCCTTTCAAGGCTCATGAGTTCCACTGACTACGCGTTTGAAAGGCAAGAAGACGTCTTCATCCATTACTATACACATGAGGATCCTTTGTCCCCACTCTCTGACTTACGCTGGCAGATTTTAGCCAGCCCAGTTACATATATGTGTCCAACATGTCCACAGCATGAGTCTATCCAGCCCAGGGCCCTTCAGATTTCCACAGATGCTGCTAGAACCCCACGCACCTTCTCACATGGTATATTTTGTAAAAACAGTCCCTCTCTTTAGTTTTTCTCACCATGAAGAAGTCACAAGGTAGCTAGGAACACAAGAGCATCACTGTGTAAGGCCAGCAGCGGACGCCCCAGAGAATTTCCCTCAAACTGTTGCTGATTCTTACAGATCCATCAGCCCAAAGTCTGGACTAGTAGGAAATATATAAATTTTCTCAGTAGGCAAACAAGTCACCATTGTAATACTTCCTAAGCATAAAACAGTCCTGGTGCCACAGTGACAGTTTTTATTGGAAAAAAAAGGCAAATGAACTATTTTGGGCATAAAATATATTAATAGTCAGCCTCTCATGTGAGATTCTAGAATGTCATCTAAAAATATGAGGACCAAAATAAAGATCCATAGAGTCTCTTCCTACATGTTTTTGTTCTTCTATTCAACAAGGTTTCTTACAAATTTAACAAAATTCAGAGACTCTATCTCATGCCTCAGAATAGGCTGTGAAGTCACCTCAGGTTAAACCAGCAGATTGCCAGCTTCGAGGAGGAGATGAAAAGAGTATCCTCAGGTTTCTTCGGAGCCTCATTAAGAAACCTAAAAATAAGGATAAAGGCTAATGATCACGTGTTATATATTCCAAACTTGCTAATGGGGGGTCTGGAGTGATTGCTGTGCAGGTGCGGGGACCTGGGTTTAGATTCCCGGCACCCACACAAGCCAGATGTGGCAGTGTGCGTGTGTAAGTGGCCGTCCTGCGGCAGCATGGGAGGTGGAGAGCCCCAGGGAAGCATGTGGGCCAGCTTAACACCCACGGTGCAAACAAGAGCCCTGTTCAAAGCACGTCTGAAACCCGTGGCTGTCCTCCGGCCTCCACACATGCGCCACCATATGTACGAACCCACACACACACATGTGGGCACACATACACACACAGACAAAAAAACTTGATAAAAATATAGTATGTACATTATTATGTGCATTCTTTTTGTTTGCTTTTTGAACATTATTACCATAGAACAGCAACACGCTGGAAAGCTGCTGAGTCCACGCCCGTTACACACAGGAAAAGCATCACACTGTGTCTTACGAATAAGTGCAATCGTTTCTGGTCCATTGAAAGTATTTTCAAAATTTAGAACTTTGTGGACTTAACAGGAGTCAAATACCAGGGTTGATGCGAACCCATGGGTAGGCCTCGCCACGAGGAATCCCTTGTAAACCACAGGAGAGCTGCGTCTAACGAGGGTTCATGACAGCCGCGTGGAATTATTTCCCAAATGTTAACTTTGAAGAAGTAAAGATGAATGTCACATGAAAGCAGAAGGAAGGAAACAGACAGGCAAAAGGGGAAAGCGGTTTCAGGCGAGGGTGGTGTGCAGGTATAAAAAAGATACAGGAGGAAAGAGAATGGACAAACACCGACTGTGTCCCAGTACTTAAATCCTTCGTGCTGCCTCACTGAGACAGAGCGCACCAGGAAGCTGTATGCTCCACCCCCGCCAGCTCACCCGCTCAAATGCCACAAAGTGACTTTCTCTCATTCTTTCCTGGAAAATGTGCAAAAAGTATTTTCATAGAGGTCTTTGGAGATTTCCTGTGTCCTCATGTGTGTAATAGGTTGGGTCACATAACAATAAAGGGAGAAGGAAGGGGATGTTGGCTTCTGTATTCTCCTCTTCTGACCAGAGAGTGGAGTGGGAAATTAAAAAGATGAAAATGACAGCACACCAATGATGTCAACGCTAAATTAAATTAAGATCATATGTTTGGCTGTGGCAGCTGTAATCTTTTGATTATCAGGGAGATTGCTGGTAATGAAGTACATTTGTAAGAAATATTTTTAGTGTGTGCATAACACTGCAAGACAAGCCTCTCCTAAATGACAGATTTAGAAAAGGCCCATCGCCTAAATTCATTCTTTTCAAAGCTCTATTTATAGAAAGAACCATGATACTTGAACTACTATAGTAGAACATTCTAATCTGCCTTATATTACCTTAGGTAATCGTCTCCATATTTTAAAATAATGCTGTAAACCATTCAATTATTTATTCACACCTACATTATATAAACAAGAAGGTTTGGAGAATTGGGATGGCATGAGGAAAAAAATTTACCAAAGACTTCACTGTCATGGCTCAAAGAATGGCCATGAAACAAACCACAGCACAGACAAAAATAAACCAGACCAGTGGGGCTCTTTAACAAGCAGCTAACTAGACGTCTAAGCGTGATTAGCGTTTGTCTTGTCTGTTATGTGAAGTGGACACCTCCTCTCTGTGTGCCGCCCTCCCTGTAGGTGCTTCGCAGGTACAGTGAGATCGCCGAGAGCGTGGGGGATGACCTGAACTTGGGGAAAGCCTACGAGGCCATCGCCAAGGTCCTGCAGAGGTAAGTTAGCACAGCCTCGTCCGGCTGTCACTGTGGAGTCACCCAGCTGTGAAAGACTTAAATTGTTTGAGGTCTGTCGCTTTCTATTACTGCCTGCTTAAATTTTAAGCAGTGCCCTTCTTAAATGACCCTTTGACGGTAAGTTACTTTAAACCAGTGTGATATTTTTAAAAGAGGCGTCCAAAGTCGCCTCTGTGTGTTCCTCCTTTGGGTTAGCTCCCTTTCCTTTTGGGTGAGCTTAGTGGTGACCTTGAATGAACCAGAGAAGAGAAAAATCAGGTCACATCTCATAAGTCGGGGTTGCAGAGAGCCTTACCAGGCAGTGCACCTCAATGCCTAGCCTTCCCAGAGATCTTCAGGAACAGTTCCCATTCACACCTCCGCCACACTTCCTCCATAAAGCAAGCCTGGATTAACAGTTGGGTGCAAGCCAGTGTTCCCAACATTTCATCTGAAACAGAAACATAAATGCAAGTCTCTAGAAACAGCTTCTGATGCCTTTCGTGGGAAGCGTGGTGATTGTCCCTCACGTGCTGAATTGCAGTCACCATGTGATCTAGTTCACCCTTTGTCATAGAGCATAACTGTGTGTAAGCCACTCACAATACCAAAAATCATCAAACACACAGTCTTGGTTTTCAGCATATTAGCTTAGTGCCAAAACAGAGCCTGTTCATAATAATAATAATAGCAGTTGCACATGTAAAATGTGCTAAACTGTAACTTCTTCATAGTCATTTCCATTGTAAATGTATACAGGGCAGTCTGAAGAGGTGGGGTGTTATTGAAAGGCGTTTAATGCTCAGATGCTTCATGAACTAAAAGTCGTTACATAAATATTACTGATTAAAAATCACTACTACCAACGAAATGAAAGGTGTTCTTTGAAATATCAGTTAAAACATGGTCACTGTTAGACAAATGTCTAGGAGAAGGTTACTGATGAGAGTGTAGGTGTTTACTGGAGAGAGACAGGACCAGTCACACGCAAGGTAAGCAAGCAACCTATAAGTGATCCCTCCAAATGTGCATGGTGAAAGTCCCCAAAAGGCCACCAGCTGTCTCTTGGAAGCTCTACTCTCCAAATAGCAGCTGAGATCCCTGAGTACTCAGCTGAATATCTGTTTAGACGTGCTTGCACACTTGATGTCCAGGTCGTGTCAACTAGTAAATTACCTGCCTCTAGTATTGTCACTGTTGCAGATCAGTAGAAAACAGTTGGGTTTGTGGAGGGTTTTGTGTTGCTGGTTTTGTTTGTTTTATGTTTTATTTATCTTTGTATGCATGTCTGCTGTGTGTGTATGCGTGTGTGCGCATGTGTGTGTCACATGCATGCCTGATGGAGCCAGAACAGGAGGGGGTCAGAGTCTCCGGGTCTCAGTTAGAAGGGGCTGTCAGACATCGTGCAGGTACGGGGAACTGAATCTGGTCTTCTGGAATAGCAGCCACGTGCTTTGACTGCTGAGCCGTCCCTCCATCCCCTAGAAAACAGTCTCACTTTGGAGTGGTAAGCCTGGTCTAAGTGTGCACAGTAATACTGATGTGTCCCTTCACATGCTTATAAAACAATTCTTACAAAAGCATCCCACACAATCAAAGAGATAAAACCCTCAGGAGAATGGCTCCCTCACAAACCTTCTCTGAGCCTTTGCCACATCACAGGATAAACATTGTGATGACCTTTGGTGACTGATGGCTCTTGTATTTAATCTTGGAACTTCTGGACACTTGAGGTTGGCGTCAAATGATCTTCAAAGGCTGAATGGATATTTCATCTGGGATTTTCTCATCTGAACCTCTGAATTTGAATTCTTGATAAATCCTGACACAGATAATCTAGTATGTTTGAGGTGGGAAATGCTGCACATGACAGGTGAGAGGTAGAAGATTTTCTTATGAACAGGGAAAGTCTTTTGTTATATTTCAGCAATGCTGCAAACAGAGCCCTTGGAATGACCTCATCGGGAAAGTGCTTGTTATGAAAGCATAAGGACCTATGTTCAGATCTCCAGCATCCACATAAAAGCCAGGCATGGTTGTCCACACTATAATCCCGGTGCTGCAATGGTCAAGACAGGTGGATCCCCAGGGCTTGCTGCAGAGCTAGTCTAATCGAAAAGCTCCAGGTTCCACAAGAGACCCTGTCTCAAAAAATAAAATAGTGTGGAGACACAGGCAATGGTGGCATACACCTTTAATCCCAGCACTCAGGAAGCAGAAGCAGGCGGATCTCTATGAGTTCAAGGCCAACCTGGTCTACAGAGTGAGTCAGAGATACACGGTGAACACTACCTCAGAACAAAACAAAAACAAAAACAGAATCAATGAAATGTGTGGAGGGTAATCAAGAAAAACTCCTGATATTGTCCTCTGACATACACAGAGACACATACGGAGAGAGACAGAGAGAAACAGATCCACATGTTACTTTCATGCCCAATACAACTAATTCTGTGTACAGAAACTTTCCAAAACCTTTACAGGTTTTTGTGGTCATTTTTGGGAGAATGTTGCTTTGAAGGGTTGATATTAACTTCAATAAGCATGCCCACACATGTGCAAACACACACAAGTACATACGTGTGTACCCTGTGCACAATCCTCAACTGTGCCCCTGGCTTAGCAGGCATCAGACAAAAGGTGACATGAGCGAAATAGAAAAAAGTATGGCGGTGGTGGCTGAGAAATAAATCAAGTTGTGTGTGAAACTTAGCATTCTCCCTAAGTCTCGTCTTCCCTAACCTGTGATGGCTCCAGTTACACTAATAGTAGCCCATCTCTATAAACATATCTTATCTCTTTGAAGGAAATGGAAGAGGATAGACATGTCTAGGATAAGTGGGTGTCTAAGGCCATCAGCTGAGTGTTGATGAAATTGTGTAAGCTGGAAGCTTCTAAAATGACTATGAGAATTTAGACTAAGCTTTCCTGAGAAACACACCACATTCTCTAAAGACAGGACTTGGTGATATGGAATTACCCTTTGGTGTTGCTCGAGCCAGATCTGGTATGACACATCAGGGAACTTCAGTAGTGGACAGCTTTGTTTTCTGTTGGTGTAAACAATATACATCATATAAAGACATAAGCAGTGTGAAAGAAAATAAGCATTTACAGTGCCATTTCTTTCTTACTTAAAATAGTACTGAAGAAAAAAAGAATCAGTTCTGAAAGAGTCTTATGATGCTACTATAAAAGTCAGTTGTGATTCATGAAAGAAAAAGTGAGTTGAGAAATTGCCAAGTAATGTTACTAGGATGATGATGATTTTGGAGATGGTTCAAGTGCATGCAATTTACCTTATGGAATATGTGTGTTTGTATATTCTAATTTATGAATTCACTTATTGAATATGTAATTCAATTATTATTCAGTTATTGCCACAGCTCTTTAACAAAATCAGGAAGGGTACTTAAAAGAACCCAGAAAAAGAGGACCCCTGAGGAACTGTGTTCATGACACATTGGTCACAACTATCCCACATCTGGGTTTCTCCAGGCCCTGGTAAATTTCTTCGCACATGTGAGTTAAACGATTTCCTGGAAAACTTTCCACAGTGGAGATCTACAAGTCAATCCCAACAAAGTTTCCAGTGTGAAAATTACCATTCTGTTATAGCCAAAGATTAATTTCTTCTTGCTTGAGAGAAATGACACGCCCTAGTAATTTTCATATATTCTCTAAAATGGAACATCCAGGCTTCGATGTGAAATTTTCTAGAAATGACAAAAAAAAAAAAAAGACCACCAGAAACGTTTCTATTAATTCATGGAATTAAGAATAGCTTTTTACATTTTCTCCTGTCACTGATCCCATTTGCCTTATTGCTTTCATCTGTGGCCCACAAACTTGGTGGCACAATCTACAAAGCCCTTGGTGGCCGGCTCATCTCTGCTCTATTTCATTTCTTCTCTCTGAGTAAACGATTAAGTTTTCATGCATTGGTTCAACCAAAATCTATGTTCAGTCAACCACATCCTTTATTGATTACTTCTTCCGCAAACACTAGGCCAAGTGTGATCTACATAATTGGACAGTTGTCAGGGGACGTGGACGTTAACAGTCCTGTTTTCCCAGTTGGAAACTGGAATCACCTTGATACACAAATATTCTGCCCCATTTCATTCTCATTCTTTGGACCGAGGAGTCCTGGTCCTCAGAATATATGTTTTTAAGTCTCCAAGGTCTGGTTGAATGAATTTAATGATTATACCATATAATCTGATGTTGAAGCTGCACCTGTGCACTGCATATAGGAAAACTGGAATTAATATTTGTTTAACATTTCACCTTGTCTTTGAACTTCTATAATCTGTAGCCTTCTCTAGGAAAAAAAATTTGTTTCCCCTTCCCAAGGACAAACTAGGCTCTAAGTCTGTGTTAGCATTCGCAAGTGAAGCTCACTATCAACCCTGTGTTGTTTATATTCCAGCTGCTCAACTGATAGCATCCACTGAGGATGGGAGGGGAGCTTACGGCTTATGATGAGAAGGCTTTCTCTAGCATTGCTTTGGAGCCAGTCGAGGATAATTGCTGGATGTGAGGGAATCTGTTGCAAGACTACACCCCACACTCAGTGTCTTTACACACACACTCAGTGTCTTTACACCCACACTCACTGTCTTTACACATGCACTCACTGTCTTTACACCCACACTCACTGTCTTTACACCCACACTCACTGTCTTTACACCCACAGTCACAGTCTTTACACTCACACTCAGTGTCTTTACACCCACACTCACTGTCTTTACACACACACTCACTGTCTTTACACCCACACTCACTGTCTTTACACCCACACTCACTGCCTTTACACCCACACTCACTGTCTTTACACACACACTGTGTGTGGAGGTGCTGACTGACTGGCTAGCTCACTCTTCACTCACTCACTCACTCAGTAGCACTGACTGGCCTATAACTTACTGTGCAGACAAGGCTAGCCTCAAACTCGGGTCCTCCCGATTTCTGGGATTAAAGGAGTATACTGCCCATCTCGCATTTTCACTTTTAATACGCTTTTTAGAAGTTTTAAAACAGATTTTTTGAGACAACTTATAAAACTATACAGAAATTCTCCTTTTAAATTCCACAGCTGAGGTTTTCATACCTTTACAGGCTTGTGTAGCCCTGACTACGCTCTGATTTCAGGAACTTCCCATCAACCCTGAAAGAAATCCTACAGAGCTCATTGACTACCCTTCATCCCCTTCTCTCCGCCTCAAGCAGCCCCCAGCCTACTTACCTCCTAGTGGATAGGCTATCCAATCCCGGGTGTTCATCCCGAAAAAGTAAACCTATGAGCAACGTTAAATGGACTCAGCAGAGCGTGTGTGTGTGTGTGTGTGTGTGTGAGAGAGAGAGAGAGAGAGAGAGAGAGAGAGAGAGAGAGAGAGAGAGAGACGTTACTAAAGAGGAAGAGGTGATGAACTTTGGGAGAGAGAGAGTGCAGGGGACATGGGAGGAGTTGGAGTAGGAAAAGGATGGGGTGGAAATGCTGTATAAAATTTTTTTAAATACTTAAAGTTTTGAGTTTTAACTCATTGTATACCCTGACCGAGATTAGCCATGTCTACTCCTGCGGTGTGTGTTGTAAGTGTGACATCCTGAGCCACATGTCTGTTCATACAATGTGTAAGTCTAACCGACACCCCACACTTTTTACTGCAAAGACACAAAATTCCTTATTTTCACAACAATGAAATATACACTAATGGTTTCCCATCTCGTCCTAGCCAAGGACAGACGACGGAAGCAATTGAATACCTGGAAAAGTTTGTGAAAATAGCGAGAAACAACTTCCAAAGCCTCGATGTGATACATGCGTGCACAATGCTTGGTGACATCTACAATGAAAAGGTGAGTTGTGTGCCCGCCCCTTGTTTGTGGGACGGCTTGCAGCGTCGGAAGTCTGTGCCCCTTGTTTGTGGGGGCTTGCAGCGTCGGAAGTCTGTTCTCATTTTATGCTTGCTGTCTCACAAGCCAGTGTGGAAAATACAGGATGTAGCACAGACACGAGGCAAGGAGACACTGGAAACGTCTCGTCCCTACTCATCGGTGTCACACAGCCCCCCCCCCACAGTGGCCGCGGCCTGAGTGTGAGGAACAGTGGAAACACCCAGCTCCAAAGGCACTTTGTGATAACCGTCTGCTCTTCTCAGTTTTCTCTGCCATTTCGCTCTTGGTCCAAATTCTTGTTTCTTTTAACCCGGCTGGGATGCTCCTTATTAAGCCCCTACTGGGCAAAGAAACAGAAATCCTGAGAATGATTCCAAAGGGAATGTGGAGTGGGGTTTTCACAGCATCCCAGGAGCCATGATTTACTAATGCAACAGTGGTAATACCAATTTCATTATCTTTAGTTGCCCAGGGTCTCCCTTAGAAACTGTATGGAAGAAGCCTGTTTCTCCAGTTATAATTGCTGTTTTGATCATGAATCAGATCCATCATTTTTTAGGGTAATTATATTCTCCAACTGTGTTCATGCACTCTGTGTTAATCTGAGTGCTCTGTGATTAAAAGCACTACCATGGAAACCCACTGCTTGGGTGACAAGCCCAGCTCCCTCACTCTGAAGATCTGGGGCCTGGGACAAGTTATTTACACTTCTAGGTGCTTTGATTGTCTTGCCTCGTGGGTGACTGTAAGGATTAAGTGAAGTGACAGGAAAGCAGAGGGGTGACTGTGGTAGAAAGAGCCCCGAGAGGGTGGGGAAGAGGGCAGGGGAGGGGGCAGCCATCGTGGACAGGTGTGGCAGTATGTGCCTGTGAAAGTGTCATACGAGACCCAGTGTGCTACATACAGACTAAAATGCTAATCTTTAGAAAATTAGCACTAGGGGGCTTGAGAGACGGCTCAGTGGTTAAGTGTCCTTGCTGCTCTTGCAAAAGAGGTTGCTTCCCAGCACACACACCAGGCAGCTCACAACTACCTATAACTCCAGCTCCATGGGATCTGACGCCATCTTCTGGCCTAGGTAGGTGACACACATAAACTCACACGGTCTCTCTCTCTCTCTCTCTCTCTCTCTCTCTCTCTCTCTCTCTCACACACACACACACACACACACACACACACACACACACACACAGGATAGACAGACAGACAAACACTGGGACTGGGCTAGGGAAATGGCCATGCCATTAAAGTGTTTTGCAAGCAAAAGGGACCTGATTTCACATCCCCAGCACCTGTGCTCCAAAACAGTGTGTGGTACATGGCTATAACCCCAGTAATGGGAGGGCAGGACCAGCAGAGCTCATTAACCAGCCATCCTAGCCAATCATTGACCTCTGTCCATGCGTACGTACACATACATGCATGACTACATACATGAGCAGGTGCACCACACACACAGCGTAAATACAGAGGAGAAAAGGACTGGATCAGCATGGGCAGCACTCTGGAGTACCGCTGTGGATCAGCACGGGCAGCACTCTGGGGTACCGCTGTGGATCAGCACGGGGCAGTACTCACGGGAAGCAGTCTGGGGTACCGCTGTGGATCAGCGCCGGGCAGTACTCGCGGGCAGCACTGTGGGGTACCGCTGTGGATCAGCGCCGGGCAGTGCTCACGGGCAGCAGTCTGGGGTACTGCTGTGTCTGGCAGGGAGACCGGGTAAGTCCACCATCGTAGCAGTTCGCTATTCCAGACCCTCCCGGAGCCTGGCTCGCTTCAAGTCTAGATTCAAAGAAGTTTTAACAGCCCAACCCACACTCTCAACCACTACAATACTTTTTTAAGAAAATGAATTTGCAATTAATACAACTGAATGGAAGACATGTTTTGCTTTGCTTCTGTTCTGGGGAAATTCCTGCAAGCAAGTCATGTCCTCTCATTTCTCTCCGCTCCCTGCTGCTCCCCTAGTTCCTTTGTCCCACCATCCCAAGAGTTTGTCACAGCACAAAGACAGCAGAATTAGCCGGTGTGCTGACTTCTCCGAGACCCTGGGGAAGGCTCACAATCTGAAGGCCTCCTGCTCTCTGGGTTTCCCACTGTGGCCCCTCCACCTCCCTGGGCTCTCCTGCCTCCTCCCCCCCAGGCCCCCTACTGTTGCCCTCACTGGCCCTGCTCCCTCTGTTGCCCATTCTGTTTCCCCTCTCTCTGCCTTCCTTGTCCTTCCCCCAGGGCTTTCCTCTCTTGTGCTCCATCTGCTGCCTCCACTTCCTGGACCACTTCTGCTGGGCTGGTTCCCACATCGGGTTTTTGTTCATTTTTCAGGGTAAAGGGGTGGTGGGCAGGGACGCCAAGGTTTGCCCTAGAGAAGCTCGCAGGCGAAGAGGGGGCCGCACCCCACAATAGCTGAATTGCACACTGACTCTGCAGAAATACGGCGAAGCACTCATTGCTATGGCTTCCCATCCTAGCAAACAACACACTGAACACCGACGTTCCATACGACAGGGCTGCCAAGTGTCCCTCATGACAGAAAGACAGGGAAAATGAGACAAGCAACAGTACCTACTTTATGCTTTCATTTTTTCAAGTTTTGCCAAGTACTTTTAATGTCACTAGTGTGATTTTATTCTCTGGTGTTTGACTCTTGAACAGTTTAACATGCAAAGACTGTCAGCTACTAAAAGTTAATTTTTATAAATTTATCCTCTTTATAAACTTTGGAGGATTCTGGACATTCATTCCATAGATAGACAGACAGACAGATAGATATGCATTATATATATATATGTATATGGTTTATTCATAAAGATACATAGATAGAAGATAGATAGATACATAGATAGATAGATAGATAGATAGATCTATATTAGTTACTTTTATATTGCTGTAATTAATAAAACACCATGACCAAGGCAACTTATAGAAGGAAGGATTTATTCAGGGTTCCAGAGGGATGCGAGTCCATTGCCATCATAGAGGAGAGGCATGGCAGCAGGTATGTGTGGCAGCTTAATCAGAAAGTTGAGAGCTCATATATCAAACTGAAAGCAGAAAGCAGAGAGCACACTGAGAATTGTAGAAGTCTTTGACCACTCAAACCCGTCCATAGTAACACACTTCCTCCAACAAGGCCACACCTCCTAAGCCTCCCTAAACAGTACCACCAAGTGAAAACTAAGTGTTCAAATGCCAGAACCAATGCTGGGGCATTCTCATTCAAACCAGCAGTGAAAGACAGACAGACAGAAAGACAGACAGACAGACAGTTCAAATATGCAAGTTGATTTCAATACTTTGGTGAGTCCAGTTGTAAATAGTCTTAATGACAAATAATGTAATACTGAGCACACCGTTGTATAACCACACACACTTCAAAACAAAGCTTGATTGGTTTCTCAAGTTGTTGAAGCTGCATTTCATCTTTGTGCATCACCATTCTTCATCGTCATCATTAAAACTATTCTGCTGACAATGGCTCAGGCTAACCTGAATTGTCCCATCATTACTTCCCAGTAATGATTACTTCTCAGTGCAATTTGAAAGGCAGTCGGTATAACAAAGGGGATTAATTAGAACGGAGTGATGGTTGCTATTTTAGTTTCCTCTAAGTTCTGCAAAATCCCTTCATGACATTGACAACAAACAACTTGCTACTTCTACTCTTGGGTGGCTGTGGACAATCCCAATTATTATAAGCACTGCTCTACAAGTTAAGCAGCTAAATAAGCCCATGAGATATTTGCACAAGTGGGAAGTGATCTCTTCCTGGAAGGAGCTTACAGCATGGCAGAGAGTAACTACCCTGGGTCTTGTCTGCTTGGTTTTGAACTGTGCTCAGCTGCTAATTAAGACATTAGGTGACTTAGTTCTCTTTTCCTTAGTTTCCTCATCTTCCAGTTGTAGGCAACAAGAAAACCTAAAGCTAGTGGCAACAACTATACCTGCTATGCCATCTCACCAGCCCCGATATTTGATTGTCTATGTATTTAAGACATCTAATAGACAACAGTACTTAAAATGCTAGCATACATTATTATATTTGAATTGAAATGCGTTTTAAAATGATAAATGACTAAATGTTTACTGCAATATTGACATAAGCTTTGAGTAACCAGAATGTGGTCAACACTCACAGAATGTAAGAAAGGCTGTGTTAAGGGTGGAAAGATTGCTTAGTGATTGAGCACATACTGCTCTTCCAGAGGACATGAGTTAGGTTTCTGTCACCCCGCTAGCAAACACCTACAACTCCAACTCCAGAGAGATCCATTGCCTCTGACTTCTGCACACATGTGTACATCCACCACACACATGTGCACACACACATACACACACACATGTGTACACACATGCACTTGCGCACACCTGCACACACAAAATTAAAAATAATTTAGAAAATTATCCTTCCTTTCATTCTTTTTTTTTCCTGGCCTGAAATTCTCTATGGAGCCCAGGTTAGCTTCACACTTGCAACCCTGCTGTCTTCATCGACAATGTGCTGACTTTGTAGACAGGCCGCCGTGCATGGCTGGATCGGACTTTGTGAGATAAGCTTGGGGTGTCTGGTGGCGTTCCTAGTGAATATTGAGTACATAGTCACTCTTTGCTCCTTAATAGGCCAAGCTCCTCCCTCCTTCTCAAGCCCAGACTGAGCCCTCGGGCTGTGTGACATACTCACCCAGATCTCTTTAGATATAAACTGTTACTTCTAAGCCAATTCATCTCCTCTCCCTTAAATTCTGCTTCTCTGCGAATCCACATCTTGATCCTCACCCTCCTTCACTCCTAGCCCCCGGCATCCAGCTGCTCACCTTGCACCAGGGTTCCTAGTAGACACATCAGACTTCACATAACAAGCATGACGTCACCCCACCCATCCACTGTCTCAGTTGTTCAAGCCAAAAGTCCGCCAGCATTTTCACCCCTCCCAAATACAATAAGCCTGTACATGGCAGAAGACACCAGTTATGATCTCATCCTGGACTGAATTATGAGGTGGCCCCACCTGACTTGTGACTTCACAGGCCAGGAAACGGTGCCTATTCCTGTGCCCTGCTGCAGTTCCTGGCTCCAATCCCGGCTTCCCTTCGTGCTGGGCTGTAAGCTGTACAGAGAAACAAACGTTCTCCTCCCCAACTTGTCGTTGGTCATGGTGTTTAATCAGAGCGACAGACAGTGAGCAGGACAGCTCTCCACCAGCCACGACATCTCGTCCTTTCTGCCTTCCTATCGCTAAGGTCACTTACTTCAATGACATTGTCAGCAATGAGTTTCAAAGTACAGCCTCGTGAGACAGAAGTTACAAGGTAAAACTGTTATTTTGAAAGACACTAGAACTGGCATATCCTGTGATTATGAAAGTTGTTTTATTATTTAAATTAATGCATCTTAAAAATAGTCTTTATCTTAGTTAACCTTTTATTATAAACCCTGGGAGAATGTGGCTCCCAAGCTACTCTCTAGACGTGGTCTTTTGATAAAATGTTGACAAAATATACTTATTAATTGTCCAAATGAGAGTGTTTTTGGTGAGATAATCAAGATCTGCCCTTTATGAGATTTTTGATTTCTTACTAAGATCAAACAATAATCATGGTTAAAAGAATGGTAATTCATATGTTAAAATACCAGAAAAAGGCCTGTGAGAGGCTCATTAGGTCAGGCACTTAATGCTCAAGCCTGGCGACTTGGGTTCAATCCCCCAAATCCATGGTGGAAGAAGAAATTTAATTCTTCAAAGTTGTCCTCTGACCTCCACAAATGCGCCATGGCATGCATAAGCCCACACTCATACATAAGCACATCATACACACACACACACACACACACACACACACACATTAACACACAATAACCACCCTTAGAAAATACCCACTTAATTTTGAGTTTGCTTATTCAATGTGTAAGAAACAGAATACTCATGAAAATTCCATTGCCAGCTTTGTTTCGAGGTCTGTGATGTCACTGAGATCTTACCCTGGAACTGTCGGGGATTTCAGAGACTGGTTCAGTTGCCTTCTCACGGATGGAGGACTCAAACACTTATAATTTGCTGTAGAACCTCAAGATTATATTTAAGATTGTCAGAACTGATTTCTAGAATCATTAGAAATTTATAATAGAGATGACTTGAGAATAATTAACTTTAGAAGGATATACAGAATTTTAGAAGATATTACATTTATGTAGTAAGTTGTTTTTTTTTTTAAGACTTAAGCTTGTGGAAATAAACACTAAGGAAAACTCATTCCCAAAAGGTATGTTCAAAAAAAGTAGCATCTAAAAAGAGTGGTTATTATGTTTATTTGACAGTGTTTAGAGAAATTTTCATTGGCAGTAGTTTATGACAGTAGTTTGTGCGAAGCTGGGTTACAAGGGGACAGTTTGAAGGGAGGACAATCCCCTACCGACGCTCCTGTCTTAGGGAGAAAAGGTACCTGGCTTGCTTAGTCACCACTTCAGGGATTACTGCCTCCTCTAAAAAGAAGTCCCTCCTCCTCTGGCTGAGTGTCACTGGTGCCTGCCTCACACTTGGTGGTTGTCCCTGACGAAGTAGATGAATGCACGAGTTCATTTTAATACGTCCTTAAACAATCCTGGACGCTTAAATATGTGCATTTGTTTACAGCCTTTGCCTTGCCACATTCAACCTCTCAACCTAAATCAGTAAACAGCCTAAATCTCAGAAATAATAGCAGGAGCAATTAGATGCTTCAATTTCTGGTTTGTTTGTTGTTGTTTTTCCTTCTTTTCTTTCTTTTAAGGCTACCCTTGGCCAAATTGTCCTTTCTCAAGATAGATACCAGTGAGAAAGGTATTTTAATCATCTTTAATATTTTCAATTGTTCTCAATTATATATAATTGGAACACAGATACCACCTTTCACAAGGTTTTCATCGAATAATCTTTCCTCACCATAAATCTTATTTTATGATACAAGAATGAATTACTTACAAAAATAAATAATAGTTATACAATATAAAGAAGCTTTGTGTCGGTCAGCGAGTTTGGTAGAAGGAATAGTTTGACCAGAGAGTGCACACAGACTGCCCTATGGACACAGGACATCAGTGTTAGGTGCTTCGTGTGAGAGTACCACTCGCCACGCTGAGATCTCCTTGCGCAATCAGTGTGATCACAAACCAGACTGCGTCACTGCACAGAGAGGCCCATGGAGCTGAAACCACGTCCCATCTGTGCTGGTGTGTGGCATGGAGGTGTATTCACAGTGCTTTGAATTCCCTTTTCTTTCACCAAGTATGGGATATGGCTTAAAATTTCATTGCAAAAATAATTCTCTCCTGTGAAAGTTTCTTTTGAAAAAATGTTCAGCCACGTTTTAAATATCTCTTTCTATTTTTTTTCTGTGTGTGTGAGTGTTCACATGTAGCAAGCACGTCTGTGTGAACACACATGTGTCTGCACGTGGGTGTAGAGGCCAGGGGCTGAAGTCATGTGTCTTCCTCAACCCCTGCCACCTTTTCTTGGTTCTAGCCATATTGCAATCACAATGTTTAAAATCTAGATTCTCCCATGTTCCTAGCTCAATGACGGCAGGTACATCTGAGAAAGAGTAGCAATGACCAGAGTCCGTAGAGAGGTATTATCCTCACCGACTTTGCATCAAATGCCCTCCTGCTACAAACGAAAGCAAAAGATGGCTAAATATATTTCCCTGGATAAACACAATGCGGCAGGTAGTAAACTTGCGTTGAAACCAGTGGCAACCGGTTTGCTTTCCCCCAGCTTCCTCCTACTGCTGCGCGCTTTCTGCGTGTCGGCCTTAGCTGAGATTTGTGACCAAATTAATCCCAGGCTTCTCACCACCGAGCGACCACTGCTCACAGAAGACAGTCCTTCCCGACGAAAAGCCGGTTTGCCAGCTCTTTCCCTTCAAAACTGGATATGCTGAGATGAGATGAGCAAATCTGTGAAATGGGCGAGATAAGAAGTAAGAACGTGCTCTCTCTCTCTCTCTCCCCCACTAGGGGCAGTACAGCACGGCTTCCGAGTACTTCCAGCAAGCCTTCAGTACCGCCGTGGAGCTAATGAAAACCGCACTGATGGATGAAACCAAAGTCCACTATGGGATAGCCAGAGCCCACCAGATGATGATGACGATGACCAACTACATAGAATCTGCAGATTTGGACAGCCTCAACTGCCTGCTGTCCTGGAAGGAGAGCAGAACTCAGATCAAATATGACCCGGTTCTCGGTAAGGCTTTGGTTTTTAGATTTTGTATCACCCTTAGTAGCCGAGGTATTTCTGTTGGAACGGTTTATTCCCACATTGGTGACTTGAATGTGTTCGATAATTTTATTCTTGTTCATTCACCACTATGTTAGGAGTTGACCGTCCTGTCCTGCTGAATGATACTGGCAATGTTTAAGAGAAGCATAAAATAGTGGGTGTGATCTGTCCTACTAATAATTCACCATTCTTGCGCTGGCGCTTCCCAGTAATCTTAGAGACCACACTATGTACCCACAAGTCACAAGGAATAACGTATAAAAAGGAGCAAGGCCTGTGAAATCGACTTATGCTTAATGCCATCCAGTTTACAGACAAGAGCGGGTACACTTTACTGATAGTAGTTAATGTTGTTTTTATTGTCTTGAGTTTGGAAAATGTTTTATAGCAATGTCTCTTCATACTATTTTTGCCTATGAATAATTAAATTTTTTGTTATAAGAAACTAGCGCAAGTGTAAGGGTCAGCTTTGTGTGTTAGCTTCATTAGGAACGAAACTCAGCTTGTCAAGCTTCGTGGCAAGCACCCTTACCCACTGAGTCATCTTGCCACAGGGAATACCAAACTCTTTTAGCTCAGTGGTAGATCCTTGAGAGCTCATTCCACAGCTTGGAGTTACCTGCATCTTAGATTTTCATGTTTTCTGCCCAGAGTGTCAGGGAAAATGATCCATGTTAGTCATCTTACACTGATAAATAAGGTTCAGTCTGCAGAGGATAAGTTGAGCAGCTCAGAGTCTCGAGTTTGTCTTACCATTCCAATGAAACTGTGAAAACCAAATTCTCCCGGGGGAAGAAGTCAGAAAAGCCACGTTCTGATGAGATCCAGGTGTGCCCATCCGCGCCTTGTTTTCGGCTTTTGAAAGACTTTCTGCTTTTGTTCATCCCTATCTCCTCCATTTGGGACTCTTTGGTTGTTTTCGGGGCTTTTGTTTTCTTGGGAAGGACTTGGGAGCAGAAGCAAGTGACCCGCGTCCCCCTGCAATTCAGACACTAAAGCTGCCTGGGGTGGGGGGATGGCCTTCCTCAGAGTGCTGCAGCATGGCGACCATCACTGACTGCTTCATCTCGAGTGACGCAGAGCTCTGTGCAGGGACGAACTACTTCCCTGTAGAAGTAAAAGTTAATAACTGTTCAGACAAGTGTGAGTAAGCACCAAGTTCTCATTCTGCTGGCCCATTTCACAATGTGAAGGGGAGCTTTCCTTCCTGGAAATTAGGCCTACAGGAAATTATTAAACACATGATTGTCTGCATGCAGATATTTTTAGTTCAAAGCACTCTGTAATCTGCCTTAAGATGCTCCATTTTCACTCTGCTTAGAACTCCTCCCTGGCTCTTCTTCGCTGGGTTCTGATTAAAGGCCTCTTGACCTTTCTGAACCTGTGCTTTCCCGACCACTCCCCTACACACCCTCCACCCCATCACTCCCAATGGTCAGTCCAGCCAGGTCCTTAGACAGGACGCCTGAGGCCCCTCCCACTTGAAAATGCTCTCTTTTCTGAGCTCAATGGCTGTCATTCATTTCTCTGCAAGCCATTTCATTTTCTACCATGACCTTTTTTTTTTTTAATCGCCTTAACTGCTCAATTAAGAGCACAGGTCTCTCAAACACACATTCTGAACTCTTGGTATTTTCTAGGAAGGAAGATGTGATATTTGGTATCTACAAGGTGGCAAATAAATGTTTAAATCAAATAGAATTCAAGATGAGTCTGTAAGCCCATCCACAAGCTAGTTTGCACTGAGCACGTTTTAAGCTTGTGTTTAATGCATCCTTGGGAAGCCTAGGATGTCACACTATTTGGCTTACTATCCAATTATCACGTAAATGAAGGATGGTGCCCACCAAACATGATGTTGACAAAATGAAAAAACAATATTTAGAAATCTGAGCAGCTTTTAAATTTTCAACTTCTACCTTCCTTGCAGATGAGGCATCTTTAATCTTGGATTGAGGGTCCCATATATTCGGGGGGAAAAAACAGATCAAAGATCAGAAAGCTACATTATAAGAGCTGTGCAGTTACTGGCACCTTGGAGGCTTCCATCCTCCAAACAAATCATTAGCTCAAAGAACTGCCAATATTCTTTTAAGCAGAGAACATGACCCCCTAAGGGAAACGAACAGTGAGAGCACCGAGGTCCTCCCGTGAAATGGGACTGTGACTCACCAGCGAGCAGTCAGCTTTGTTCCTCTCAGAGGGAACTCGGCAAGAACAGGCACCTTCAGACTCTTCTCTGCTGGGAGACGGCGGGACTGACTCACACAGCCTGCCCTCCCCTTCCACCACTGAATCTCCCAAATTTAAAAATTGGGGGGATCAAATTTACTGCACCCTAATAAAATGACTCAATCCAGAAGCAACCGCAATTGTTTGGTTCTGGAAGGCTCAAGGGCCAACGAACTTCTACTGAAATTTCCAGAATATTGTTTACTTCCCATACTCAAGATATCTTCACAATCAAGGAAATGTATGGTTTCATAAGGAAAGGTAGTTTGTGTTGCAATCACAGACACAGTAACATAGAAAGAAATGCCCCTCATTTAGCTTAAGAGCACCAGTAACCCCAGTTTGCAGTTATAACCATTTAAATGATGAGGATAGTATCAGTAGCAGGATTCCCATGCACTTTCTCATTGCAACTAAATGCAAATTACATCATAGAAACAAGACGTGAACTCCAAGCACCAAAACAGTTGCGTACACCCACTACTTGGAATGCAAGGGCACTGTTCCCTGTGAGAAGTCACGTAAAGGTTTAAAGGGATGGGAAAATGATCGTCTTGTTTTATGACTCCTGAAATCGTTTTCAAGAAGTGCCATGACTTCGTCTCACAGTTTTTGCTTCGTGCTGGCTTCTTCACCTTGCACCCGAGCTTAGTATCAAGCCATTTTCTGCTGCATACTCTGTTTGCATTTCTCATTCATGAGCTTACCACCCCCTTTCAAAGAATATGAGTAGCCCTCATATTCTACTGTGATTGGATAATTTTTCTATAGCTTAATAAGCATAAATACAAAGAGACAATAGTAGAATTATCCAACAGGCTGGCAAGCAAGGTTTTAAAAAAAAGCAAAAACTTTTGATTGGTTTTTTGATAATTGTATGCGTGCACACGGTATATCCTGATTATAGTTCCCCCACCTCTCTGAGTTTCCACCTAGCTTTACAAGCCTCCTCTTGTCTACAAGTTCCTTCTCCCCTTTAGGGTCTTTTAGTTTTGTGACTCGGTGAGCTTAACCAGGGCCATGTGTGTGGCGATGCCTTTGGAATGAGGTGCTGGAGCCCAGCGCACGTAGCAGTCGCTAACTAAGGGGAAATGATGTCTTCCCCACCCCCAGAGTCCATCGGTAATCAGTAGTTCAGGAGGGAGTGGCAGAGCCTTCCCAACCCCTGCTGAAGCCATATAGCTGTTGACAGGCCCATGGTGTGCAGCCAAAGCCCCTGTGAGAGCATGACTGTGCTGGTTGCGTCACGCCGGAAGCTGGCCTTCCACAGCCCTTCTTCCTGTTTTCCTGTTCTCACTTTTTCCTGCCCCCTCTTCTGCCAGGGTCTGTAAATGTTTGAAGCAGGTGTATAAATGTCCTGGTTAAGGCTAGGCATTCAACTGTCACTTACTCTTAGCACTCTGAGCAAGCAGGCATCTCTGTATTCACCATCACTCATTCCAAAAGGAAGCGTCTCTGATTAAGGTTAAGATTAGCACTTATGTATGGGTATAAACACAGATACATAGGAGGCAGTTTAATGTTGTAACTCATGAAAGAAGGGTAATAAACAGATGTAAGTTCCACACCAGGGCTGAAGACCTTGTCAACTATAAGTTTTGTTTTCGTTTGTTTTCTACTGCATTCACTTTATCAGACAAGGACTCCCTGCTAGGGACAAGCCTCATAGCTACTCAGAGAGCACTTGGTTACTCCCAGAACAGTCATGCCGTCATTGCTTCAGCAGGCACACCTCGTCTGACAGGATCATATTGTGGTTTGTAGAATTCACAGCTGAGTGAAACTGTTGATGCCCTTTCTCCCCAAGCAGCCTGCATAGCGCCTTTCGGCACCGTGGAAGGTAGTCAGCAGCGGGGAAGCTTCCCCTTCAGCTCCAGCTTCATCCCTGTCTTGTAGTCAAGAGACATGGACCCTTCAGCAGTGGGGTTGTATCATCTAGTTCTGGTGGCAGGTCTTGTTGGAGGGTCATCTCTTCAACTTGCCTCGCCAATGCTCGTTAAGAGGTACCTTACACCTGGCCCCGGGGTTTTTGTTTAATAACCTATGGTTTTTAGGAAAAGACATAGGATCTCCATCTCTATCTCCACATAGGTTTCCATATTGCTTATCCTACTCTGACTCCAGAAGCCCTAGGACCCTTTTCAGTGGCTTCCAGGACGGCAGCAACAGGGGCTCTGGTGAGACTGCAGCAGTTAGGGCAGCCGCCTCTCTGTAGGACAATTAGCAGAAGGTGCATTTGTGGTCTGTGGGTCTACCTGTGACTCTTTAAACCCTTACATACTGTGCTAAACTCCCATTTCTAATCACAGCAAACGAGTTGGATGAGACAAATGGGATAAGAGCATTAAAATACATTCTTTTAGTGTTCCATATCCACACCAATAAAAGAAACCCAACGTGCACCTTTCTGTTAGCTCACTTGAAGTGACCATGTTAATCTGATTCTCACAAACACCAGGAAAAGCCCTCGGTACTTGCTGCAATTTATTCAAAGCAAGCATAACATCAACACAGGCAATGTCTGAAGAAGAGAAACCAATACTTAATTGCAACCAAATTCTAAAAGAACAAGGAAGAATTTGAGTGTGGATTTTCAATTTCCTCATTCAAATACACATCGCCAGCCTTCGTCTATGTTGTACAACACAAGTGACAAGTTACTTCCTACAGAATAAAGTATTTCTTCAGAAGCTAAAACTAGCTTCATTTGGGAAATAACAATATGACTCCAG